ATAGTTTTATTTCAACGATATATTTAGTAGGGCGGTACCTGCAATGTAAGTGAAACTTTACCCGTCTCCAAGAATGGTTTAAGTTATATTATTAATAAGATATTCTTTTTATATCCGAACAATATGTCTGGAACTCTAACATTTATGAAGTATATGTAATATGTATGTACTAACGTACAGCGATATTATCTGTCGTTTCGAAGGTAATCTTGTGAAAAACGCTTTTATTTGAATTTGTGTTTTTTTGTTTGGTTTTTGCTCGTTAGTATGCATTTTCACAAAATTTCTAAAACCAGTTTATTGTTGTTGTTATTGTTGTTACTATTATTATTATTACTGTTGTTTTACGTTGAAGGCTTCATTTAACGATTTTAAATTACAAGTAAATATCTCTTATTGCCGTGTAATGTTGCCAATCAAATCATTAAAGAGTTTTAAAGGCAAGAATTGTATATACATACACACACACACACACACACACTCACACACAGCCTAACACAATTGTAGTTGCGCGATCTTCATTGTTTTATCTCTTGATGTTGTTGTTGTTGTCGTTGTCGTTTTCGTTGTTGCTCTGCTATGGCCATTTTGTTGTTATTGCTGTTGTTGTGTGTCACGTTTAAGGTGTTATTGCGATCATTGTTACACCAATTATGGAGAAATCAGTTTCCATTGACAGATTAATTGATTGCGTATATACCCATGTGTGTGTGTTTTTGTGCATGTGTGGATTTTCGTTTTTTGAACAACATGTAGTTATCTTCTTAGTCGCTTTGTCGTGTCTGTCTAATTTTAAGCTAATTGTTATTGTCGGTTTTCAGCGAAGTCTAAATGGTGTTGTTTGAGGAAACGAAACACTTTTCTGGTCATGTGTCGTTGTGAAGTGTAAGGAAGTTGAAATGTGATTGAATTGCATTTATTTATATCGGATCGAATTGCATCTCATTTTTAATAAAAATAAAAAAACAGGTTAATCATTGCCTTTGTGTTTATTGAAAACGCACGAGTTTTGTTTTAGTTAAAGCCCAGATTTAAATAAGCGATTAATTTCAAGCACGTTCAAGGGTATGCAACTTACGTTGGTAATCAGCCTCAGCTAATGCTTGAAAAAATGCTCGAACAACTTTCTTTCCGATGCCATTAACACATACGGAAAAGGGTGATGACGACAGGATAAAGTTATCGATTTTTCGGTAGAAGAACGAGAGGCGCAAGTGTTAAGGGATTACAATTCCTCGTCAACCATGAATTCAGATAAATGCTTATGTTAGTTAAATTCTTTAAAGATTATCAAGCGATTGAATGAAGGAAACTCAAGGCCAGGAACATCAAGACGCGGTTTCCCTTGTGCGTGCGTTGTAACGCAACAAGCGAAGCAAGCAAAGTCGTTTAAAAGTTCGATCAATTTAACATTTATTAATATAATTTTTATTAATATACCCTACTACCTTGATCTTTAATCAAAATTTATACAAAAGTACGCGAACCCAACTTAAATTAAAATTTTTGAAATCACTTCGCGGTTTAATGCAATTCATTTTAGGTTCACTACAACATCCCTTAAACCTTGGCTACGTTTTCGCATGTTGAGTGCCTGAAATCGAGGACAATCTGTTAGTGAACTCAACGGACGGAAACGTCCACGTTTGAGCACTTCAGGGTCACTTTTCCGCCGTACCTCCCAAAAGGCTTTTTCCTAAGGAAACGTCTGTGAAAAGCTTACTACAGCATTTCTCAGTATTCGCCCCTGAAAACTTATGGGGAAGAACCTTTTGAGGCGTCTTTTGCTTGCCTGCTTTGTATTGCTGTTTTATCATTCAATCAACAGTATATTATTTCATATTAAGTGTGGTTGCATGTAAAACAATTCTTGACCATACATACTAACAGGCCTACCGAAAAGTTCTGTCCGTTCTTCAAAGGATTCTGCTCTAACACAACCTAGACCGCATCGTCGTAGATCAACGATCATTGCCCAGAGCGCGGCTTATGAAAAAGTTCGAATCCCCTTCTGCATGTTCTATTAGAAACCGTGTCTTCACCAAACACTGTTGCACACAATATAGTGGCGTAACTTTATCAGTAGCCATGCGTACAGGATCGTCTCGCTCAATACCTCAATACATGAATCATCTTGAATATGCATACGTTCAGTAGGAAAAAGAGAGAGTCAAATGGACATGCGCCTACTTGTTGCAACCGGACGGGAACGAAACTTTGCGGTAGACCTAATGCGTCAACCAGCGATGATATTAATTTCAATATCTAGAAAGAGCAAATGTTGTCGTTAACTGATTTCAATCAACCGCGAACGTCTGGACCATGGGAAACACAGCTATAACAGCAATTATTACATGTAAACAGGCAGTAAATGATGAAATGCCCGCATAATTAACGACAAGGCGAGGCTAAGACAATGCAATTACTGGTATCGCTCGGCTAGAATCGATTACCTTTTACATCGAACAGTGTCGTGAATAAGCATTTTTGCACAACTAGCTCGCTTTGCGTGTTGTTTCTTCAGTAGAGAGTCTTTCTACACTAATTCAAATGTTGCATGTAATACAAATTTTTCCTAGCCACTGGATATTTATGCTTAATTCTTTAAATGCTTACGAGTGTGATTTCAATGCCTCAAGGTACCAATGAAACTAAAGTTTTTTTTTTTTTAATTCTTTTCACATAATATTTATTTATGAGTTTCTTTATTGGACATAAAATGCTAAAAATTATTGTAATATTTATTGCAGTTATTTCTAAATGTTTAAAACACTAAAATTCAAAAATTCTTTCAATTGTTTATTTATTTTAAATACGAATTTTATTATACTTTATCAAATATTTTTAAAATTTAAAATAAAATCGTTTTATATGAAAGAAATTTTGCAACATAGACATAAACTAATTGCTAATTACATAAATTTACATAATAATATAAGTAAACAGTGAAAACAGCATTAACCAGTGATGTCAATTATAAAGCGATTTTTGGAAATTTATTGTAAAAGATCCCTTCACCGCTTCGCCACGATGAAAACTCTATTTAATAGATAGGGAATAAAACCTCTGTCTGTTTCTCATGGCTGTTTTAGATGTTCACCTATGTCGGTCAGTCGCGAAAAGGGGCGAATACTTTCAATAAAAGGGTAAAATTGCTTTTCAACGTTTTGTTATTCTCTTAAAGACTTAAGAAAGGCCTAAAGCATGTTTAAATTTTAATATAAATTTTGAATTTTGTATTGATTCAGTTCTGTATTTCCTTTCGTTTTTCGACCTGTTAGGGGAATTTTCAAACCCATAACACTAAAAAGGGAAATTTGAAATAGTTTTTCTTAAAAGAGTAAGACGATCTTTTTTAACTTCTTCATCCAAGCCTAAAAGAAAAATTTAAAATATTTCGTGGTTTCTCTTGCAGTGTGATCGCATAAATGGCATATACGGTTTACTGGGTTAGAAAAATAATATTAAAAGCGATGAAAAATGCATTTTTTTAGCAGACCAGTAAAGTATTCGTCTGCTCAACTTTTATCTGGCTCTACGTTCTGAGACATCATATTTTTTAGTTATCTCATGAAAGATTTGTAAAAGATCAAATATACGAATTTGGAAACAGTTGGAAGGAATATATTGAATAATAAGGAGCGAATACACTAAATAATAAAGTAAATAAAGGCCAACTATAAAATTAGTTACTTATTCTTATCTGCTGCCTTTTTAAATTGATCTGAACATTATATGAAGTCAAGACTAAGCTTTTGCAAAGAACCGCCCACTACTTCTTCAATCGGAATTTAGAAGACAAGACTCAAGCTTCCGTAGAATCGCAAAATATTAGGAGGCGTAGTGAAGCTCAGTAAAGCATCTCTATTTATAGACGTCGACGGAAGAAGTGATAAGAAGTGATATTAGCTATCAATTTCTAGTCCATTTTCATTTATTTGGAACGGACGCGGTTGTGATAATGCTCGAAAAGAAGTCGCACTCTAGTGCGCTTGTACTCAATCAGTAAGTGTTATGCCTTTCCCGACTGAACACTTGCTATAGTTTCAACCGAAGTAAACTTTTTCGTTTTCGACTCGCGAAGATCGAGTTAGTAATCGCGGTTTTCGGCTACTCTTCTGTTCGGAAAGAAAGGTGTGACGGTTATTAAAAATTATCATTTAATTAACATTCGCCACGTTTCAGGCCATATTTGACTTATCATAGGATGCGTAATTTGCTTCTCTAGAACAACCACCATAAGCGTAAGTTTGCTTTAAGATAAGCTGTCAAGTTCTTGAATCGTAATTCGCAATGACAATATCTTGAAAAATGTTTCCGCTTTGTGAGGAGAGCCCCTCGCGTATAAGATAAAATCGCGGCGATTGGTTGGAAACTGGACAAAATGGATTGGAGCTGTTATTTTGAATTATTTATCGATGTCAACTGGTCGGTCAAAGGGTTGATAGCAAAAATCTGTTTTTATAACAAAAAAATTGTAAAAGAAAAGATGAACGAGAACTTCCCTGAGTTATGACTCATTAGTGCGGTTAATAAAGGTGACCACCTTTATTGAATTCCTTTAATGATCTCCATAGGATCAGGCTTTATATTTTCTTATCGCGCTCGACGAGGGCTCGAGGGAAGTGAAAAGTGAAGAGAAGCTTTCGTTTTTGCTAACAAAGGTAAAGTAATTTTTTATTAGACTCTTTTTGTTTTAAATTGATTTTTTACTTATAATTGACATCACTGATATTTAATAATTTCTGTGATCTTTTAATAGCGACAACAATTAATTTACACTCATTAGATAACATTTAAAAAGGAATTTATAAAATTTTTATTGTATGCTATTTATTGTAATAATATGTTGTTTATGTTGATTATTTTGTTGGTGTAGATTATTTATTTATGTTGAATATATGTATGTTGTGTGCGTTTTCGTTTCTTTCATATTATTTGTCTACATTAAATTCAATTATAATATCCGTATGTAGATTAAACATTTGAAAAAAGTGGCAGTTTTTTTTTTCTATTTTTTTTTTGTTATCTTTATTAAATGAATTTTTTCTCTTGATTTACATTTTTTCAAATCTTGTTAATTATGAAATGTGACTCTTTTCAAAAAAAGGAAAAAAATAATAATATTGTCTTAAACACACTCATCACAAAATGGGTAGGCAGAGCCCGTAATGAGTTTAAGCAAAAAAAAAAAAAAAAAAATAAAAAAAAAAATTAAAAAAATTAAAAACTATAATAATTTTCTTCATCTTCTTCTCTGTTGATATCAAATTTAAAAATAAAATCACATTTTTAAAGACTTGCGCATAGATATGTTTAAAATCTAAACGATTTAATTATATATAAAATAAAAATAAATTTTCGCATATTTGCTGTTTGTGTAGAACAGAATGAGACGTAAAATCAATTTACTTTCATATCATATCAATCTTATTTAAAGTATGGCTTCATTTCTTGCGAATCTCAATCTATAAAAGGCTAACCAAATTCTTTAACAGCAAGTTTTCGAAAAGAAAAATGTGTTAATTAAAAAAAAAAAAAAAAGGCACATAATTTTATATATCTCTTTTACAAGTAAACATCGAAAGCTTTTTCAATTTCGAACTCAAGAATTAATTTATAAAAGAAATTCACGTTACTCTTACCATTGCCATAACTATTAAGAGTCATTTATATGATGCGTTTATCTAAATAATCACGAAAGAAAAAATCTGCAATAAAAAGAGAAAGAAAAAAATTATATTTTAAAAAAAGAAGAAAGCCATTGCTGACAGTATATACGACGAGGTAGGAACGTCTTGCAATATCAAACGCGGATTGATAGTGGAGCTATCTCCAAAATTTTTGGAAATTTCTTTAATTTTTTATAGGGGAAATCACATGGTCTTTTTTGGCTTTTCTATGTCGCTTGTCTGTCGGAAAAGTAATCTAATCTAGTAATGAAAACTTTGTCCAGAGAAATGAAGCGTCCATCTTGAATTTTCTGCTTTACTACTCTCGCCAGTTTAAGATTGCAAATCATCAAGATCGACATGAAGCTACGACCATCGCCCGATGTTGGCCGATAATTTCGTTTTTACCTTATCATCAAATGCTACTTATATTTTAATTAAGGCAGACAAAGTGCAATTGTGTTGTGTTGCTCAAAGTCGTAAGATTTCGGATGATATATATTTTGTTCTAATTGCTCTTAGGATGAGAACAGTGTCGATTTACATAGGGCGATCAAGTGGGAGCTTTTTTTTTAAAACATTATACATATTGTTTCTAGATTCCAACTACAATTGACTTTTGTGTTCAGTGTCGTTGAATCTCTTGAAAATAAAAGCGAATTTTCAAAATAATTTTAGAACATTTTTATAGGGGCAGAATAAAGACATTGCGCATCGAACATAGAAAATTCGCTCGTAATATAACATTAGTCTTGCTTTACTTAAAATGATTAGAAGGAAGAGATTTCTTTTTCGGCACTGTGGTCTCAAAACGAGCTAGGCTAAACGTCCTCTAAATATTAGTTTGGGGAAAAAGAAATCCATTATTTTTATATGCACTTCAAGACTTTATTTAACATGCTTCGGATTGTCCGATTTGGGTCAAATATGCACCGTTTTGTTGTATGATTTGTTGCCATTTTAAAGGTAACTTCAAAATGCCTCTCTCATAGAAGTCCTGGTCTCTATTTGCAAAAAACTCTAGTAGTCGATTTTCACAATCCTCCCTAGATTCCAATTTTTTATCATTAAAGAAATTTTGCAATGCAAGAAAAAGATGATAATCGCTTGGTGCCAAGTCCGGACTGTATGGCGGATGCATTAAAACTTCCCAACCAAGCCCCCGATGTGTGTTGCCTAGCGTTGTCCTGGTGGAACACGACACCTCTCCTGTTGGCCAATTCTGGCCGTTTCTGGTCAATCGCTATCTTCAAACGGTCCAGTTGTTGACAGTAGAGATCAGAATTTAGCGTTTGGCCATATGGAAGCAACTCATAATAAATAATCCCCTTCCACTCCCACCAAATGCATAGCAAAACCTTCCTGGCCGTTTGAGGTGCTTCACCGCTCTTTGACCACGATCGTTTTCGCACAGGGTTATCGTATGTGATTCATTTCTCATCTCCAGTCACCATCCGTTTACGAAACGGGTCTATCTCATTCCGTTTGGCCAGGGCTTCGCAGATGGAAATTCGATCCATCATGTTTTTTTCTGTTAATTGGTGTGGCACCCAAACGTCGAGCTTCTTTTTGAATCCACCTTTGTGTAAATGGTTTAAAACTGTTTTATGGTCGCTTTTTAGCTCCTGGGCGATGTTACGACTGCTAACATGCCGGTCAACTTCGATCATTTCTCCGATTTTATCGACATTTTCGACGACCGGCCTACCTGTGCGATGTGCATCTTTAACATCAAAACTTCCTGAACGGAATCTACGAAACCAAAATTGCACATAATTGGCTGTTACAGTATCGGAACCAGAAACACCATTCACAATTTTAGCCGCCTGGCTTGCATTTTCGCCTTTGTCAAAGAAAAACTGTAAAATGTACCGAATTTTCTCTTTGTTCACTTCCATTTTTAACACGCTGTAACTCACAACTGAATGCACCAAACAAAAAACAGCAAATGAATTTTTTTTACTGCGAAATGTCACCTTTCCAACGAGCATAAATCTGAAATTGTTTGATTGATACTTTACAAGAAATCTATCAGTGCAGCCATCTACCGAAAAAATAATGGATTTCTTTTTCCCCAAACTAATATATCTACTGCCTTTCCCCGTTTATTTGTAAATCGACGCATCTCTAGGGATTTGATAATCCGTAGTTCTCTCTTCCCTACGCGTGAGTGAGTTGGTTAGCAAGAGCCCCTAGAGTCTGAGCTACAGAATGCAGCGTTTGCTTTAATTGTAGAGACGCAGTAGAATTTCGTAAGCAAAATCATTAGGAACATTGGAAAGGGAATATGAAATAACAGATAAACAGTGAGAGAGTTTATAAGAGCTATAAGATATTTAGCGAGGAACATAAAGTGCTTCAAGAGTCGCTTCTCTCCGATCGACATTCAAAGTTATCGCACGAAGAAAACATCAACACAACCAAAGTAAATAACATTAAGTTCCAAAAATATGCTTCAGCATTATTAACATGTCTCGTAAGCTTGTACTGGCTAACATGTCATTGCTGTAATATTCTCCAGATACATTTCAGTTTTTGATTGGATTTGTTGTCATAAACAAAAGTTCGAAGAAAGGAATAGGAGCGATCTAACAAGTCCCTAGAAGTGATCTTCTTTTACAGAAAATTGTGCAAAACTACAATAATTATTCAACACACAAACACATACACGTACTTACCTTAATAATATATTTAAAGAATTTCCATTAAACCTGTATATTTCGCTTGAAACAAACAACAATGTTTGTTATGATGGCAACATTAAGTAATGTCGATGAAACGACATACGTATATATGTATATGTACGTGAGTACGTGCAAATTTAAAGTCAATTTGGTGCGCCGTCGATTACTAAATAAGTACACAAAAAGTTCCTTTTGCAACGTTCCACTCATCGATTATTATTATTGAAAATATGATTTTTATGCAATTTTCCATGAGAGCGATTGCTGACTACAAATACAAGGTCGCCTGTTGACGATGATCAAAATGATGAATATAGAGTTTCTTTTTTGACTTTTCTTTGGTTGGTCGTAAGTCCCATACCAAATTCGATAGACTTCGTGGCCGCGATAGTCGACGAGTTTTTTTTTCGGGCAGTTTATTTGAATCGCCCGAAGTACGTCCGCCACTACGTGATGAGTCGAGAGTACCTTCACGCGGGTTATGATGTATCATGCTCGTGAGACCACCGTTTGTGCTTGAACTTTTGCTCAAGGGCAGGGGAACGTTATGATTATTATTATTGTTATTGCTACATTTAAGCACCAAATCAGGCGGTGCCAGTAGGGGTTGTCCTTTGGGATTTGTTGAGATCGGCGGTGATACAGAATTGCTGTCCGGTGTTAACTGAAGACTGCTGAGGCTTTTGTATCTGAAGAGTAATAAGAGAGAGTTTTGAACAACAAAACAAAAACTAAAGTTATTTTGAAATTTGAATTCAAAAATTTGAAAAGCCATTGCAAGCAATTGAAAAGCAATTCGCTGATATATACCTGATATGGAATAGAGGTGATTGCGGCTCTAAGCTGCAATCTTTGCCTAGAATACCGGCACTTAAAGGTGCCACATTGCCGTTGAGCGGAGTGTGATGATGATTATTCGGTGTCAAAACTTTATTACCAGCGTTAACGCTTGGATGATGGCCGTGATGGGCTGCGTGGTGATGATGAGAACTCACAGCCGCAGCTGTTGCATTAACAACGGCAGCCTGTGAAGGCGAGTGATGACTATGATGATGATGGTGGTGATGATGGTTACCGTTGGTGCTAGCGATGCTGGTTATGGCGCCGCCATTTGCCGCATGACTGTTACTGCTACTGCCTGCACTGTACGAGTTTTTAAGATAAAGCTTTGGTAGTGTAGGTCTTTGACGTTTTTCAGGCAATTTTTTGCCCGGTATAGTCTCAATGGGTGGTGGTACTGGCTTTATATCTTCCTGAATGTGACTATGCTGGTAGTGATTGACCACAAGATTGCTCAACTGATGATTATGCGCATGACTCTGGTGATGATGATGTGGTCCCCCGGTCGTGGTTGGCAAATGGTGATGATGATTATGGCTATAATTGCTGCTGTTGTGACTACTGTTTGTGTGTTTCGTTGACTCTAGACTACTGTAATTGTTGTTATTGCTATTATGACCGCCGCTGCTATTGTTTAAGCTATTGTTGTTAGTATTGGAATTATTATTGTTGTTATTATTATTGCTATTGTTATTGTTTAGCTGCTGAGCCGAATGACCTGCGGTATTTTGATTAACCCGTATCAAGCTGCAATAGTTGCCGCTACTGTCAGTGTGTTGTGACTTAATTGTCGGCGTTTCACAAATTGGTTCGAAACGTGAAAGCGCTTTGGACAGTGGGGTCAGACCTCGTACATAATCGTAAATGTGGTCAATGTCATTATATTCTTCAGATATTTCTTCTGGGGGTTGATTCTTACTGTACGAATCACAGCTTGCACTTCGTTTCAAAATGTAACCGTTTTCCATGAGACCATTGGCCACATAAGCCACTCCAGCCGCTGATGGTAGCATTACCACCGGAAGTTTATTACGGCCGCTAAACTTGGAATCTTTTTTTTCCTTTTCCGATAATTTGATATCGACAACTTGTAGACGATCCCGAGCATCGCCTAAAAGACGCTGAGCCTTCTCCAGGAAGCGTGAATATTCGATAAAATTCTCTAGCTGTTCCATATTCTTCGCTCGTTGAAGCTTGATTTTGGCATTGAGCGGAACTGGCACCAAATCATTATCCTTTTGCAGGGGCAGAGCAAAGACCCGATCGATTTCTACACAGCCTAAAAGACGCATTTCGGCTACAAAGGGTTGCTTCAGTCCCTTTGGCACACTTCCGTGAACCAATCTAAATTGACAAAAGAATTTCAACGAGAATTATTAAATTAATATTCACAATTCTCACTATCCCTGCGAGGAATTGAAGAATGTTTCCATATCGATTTCAACTTACCTAACGACTATGGGCATACGTTTCAATAGCAAGTTCTTTACAGTATGTACACCACTAATACTATCCTCCTTGGCTATGGGTGAAAACTTCGCTTTGGTATCGAGTGGTAAATTAATAATTTCATCTTTAATATTTTTGCATTGCAAAAATTTGCCATTTTCATTCACAGTCGTAAGCAGCTCTCCAGCGTGGAGAGTGCGATTTATTGGAGGGCAACGAAAAGTTTCACGAACTAAAACGCGGCAATTTCGTCGTTTCGATAATTCTAAAACGGACTCAATACAACGTGTTGAACGACCATCTTCACTAAGTAATTCAAAGTAGCCGGGATAGGTTTCAGGTATTAGAAGCTTAGCACCAACATTGGTAGGCTTACGACCCTCCTTCAACTTAATTGGTTGAGCAAGTATTTGATATTTTTTGCCTGCGCTCAAAAACAACGCCGTACTCTGCAAGGAAGGTGCAGAGAGCGTGGGCACACCTAAATTTTGATGTTGACCCTTAACAATCTTGGCCACTGCCGGTAACTTTTGCTTAGAAAAGTCACGTAAATAAATGGGTGGCGAAGTTGTTGTATCCCCGAAACGGGAAGCAGCCAATATTATTTGGCCATCAGTGGCGGCCATGTCGCGATTAAAGAACGATAACAGTTTGGTTCGCGCCAAGTTAACATTAAACGTGAGTAAATTTCATGGATTTTGCACTGGATCACTTTGATCAGCAGCCGAAGTCGAGGCGTTAACGTTAATCTTCTCGTTTAGGATCGTTGTTTCTACAGACTGAGAATTCGGGGTATTCGATGTTAAGGTTAGGAAACGTGAGGATGTTTGTAAGGCGTAGTTAATATACTGCATTCGGTTTGCTGTCAATGCTACAATCCAAGTTACCGAATTTCGAAGTGATCGTTAAAGACCCGAAGTTAACCAATAGGAAAAAAGTCCTGTTAAACGAGAAAGAATTTTTCATTATTTAAAATGCATGTAAAAAGTAAATTAAAACTACGTGCAAGAAGTAAATAAAAAACAGATTTCCATATAATGGACATCCATTGCCCATAATGGTTATAAACTCGTTTAACTATAGCTAATGAAACGCAAAAATGACATTTTTTTAGCGTAAAGACGCAGCAAATCGCTACTTTATATGACATAAGAACCTTGCTGTTCTTTTTACTTGTTATTTATTGCAACTGTTATTGCTGAACTGTCTGAGTTCGACAGTTCGGCTCATTATAGACGGATAAGTATGCACTATACATTGGTTCTTCTTATGTCGAATCTCTACTTCTTTCAACTTCTACGCTTCAAAGAAATACTCATCCAAGTTAATATAACTTCGTCCGCCTGGTCGTCTTTGCGTTCGTTATGCCACCTCCCTACCCATCCCTACACACATGCCACCATCCATCCATCCATCGTTCAGTTCGTAAGCCTTTGCACCTGTCTGTTACTCTAAACGTCCCTGTATCTATATGTCCACGTGTCCATACGTCCCTATGTTCATACCTCCCCATGCCCATCTGTCACCTCCATCTGTATTTCTCTTCGCTGTCTCTCAGCCGTCCGTCTGCCTGTTTTTTCTTCACGTAATTAATTGCTGAGGGGATATCCCCTAGCCCGGGAACGCGGTGACGGCAAGAAAGAAGGGCGGAAAGTGAAACAAGTAGGGAGGTGTTGGCCTTAAGGTGTTCAATCGATAAGGGTTACGTCTTTACCGACTGAGCACTCACTATAGCTACAACCAAGGGAAACTCCACCGCACTTGAGATTTCAACCCGCGAACACTAGCTTGACAGTCGAGGTTCTTACCTATTCGCCTAGCCACTTTGTTGTTGTGCTAAAGATGATATGAAAACTTGACAAGGAAAAGTAGGAACTCGTATATATATATGTAGCTGGTTGCCACAGACCTCTTAGTGGAAAGAACTTCGTTTGCCACAATAAGAGTTTCACGTAGACTGCTGAGCTTTTAGTAGACATATTCATTCCCATTACTGAAAAGAAACTATTAAGGCAACAGATGCTCTTCAGTCTGGTTACCAAACCTTTGCTGTTCAGGGTTTCATGACGGAATGACAATGGAGAAAAGAGGCCCTCTCCCAATACATTGTGTTCGTTTGTTACGGTGACTCCGGAAATTCTCCTCTACAATGGACAACAAACTATTTAAACACAACGTAGATATGCAAACAAACGTCGGTAAATATATTTGAAAATTTGGAGAAACAGCAGTCGGTTGAATGACCTATGGGCTATCAGCAAAATGAATAGTCTTTGTGCTTACTATCGAAAACCAAGTATTTACTGATCTTTTGTTTGTCCGTTTGTCTTATCTACAAGGCTTACACCTAGCTATACACACAAGTATATATAGATATGTACGTTTTTAAACAGTTTGAGGTGCTCTATCGAATTTAACACCATTATCATCCGTCCCTCGGTCACTCGAGTCTCTTTTTGCGTACGGAGCTAATCTATTTTTCCCATAGGGAATGTAAATATTCTTCTATTTATTTACTTTTTGCACATTTGAAGCTTTTTTTAATGTTTCACTGCACTTTATGCCATGTTTTCTAGAGTTTAGCTGGTGAACATTAAAGATTTACTTCAAGGCAAATATATAGTTTTCTTGTTCTAATTTATGTATTGATTTTCAAAGTTTTCTCACATGACCTTTTCCAAACAAGGACTGAACTCTATTTATATCTCGCACATGGCTCACTTTTAAAATAGTTTTTTTTTTTTTCTTGTTTTTTTTGTGTACTAACCCGTAATGTTCTCATTAAACATTCTCATAAAAACATACATATTTGTATAAGATACACGTATATATCACGATTCAACAATTTATTATGGTCAGACAATCAAGCAAATGATGTTGTCGTTCTTGGCTGTCTCTCTATTACAAACGGGAACGAAAGCAATAACATCATAAAAATGTCGGTAAATACGGGCTATGACGACAATGTAATAAAAAAGAAGAATTGAAGCAAAGAAAATCATGATGAAAGGAATAAAGATCATAATGATGATGATGATGATGATGATGATGATGATGACGATGACAATGACGATGATAATGATGAGAATGATGATGGAAATTACTTTTATGAAGACAACATATGTAACTTAAAGTTATACATTTATTTGCTTAAGGGTCATCGCAGCATTGGACAATAATGTTCATTTATGTTAATTGCATTTTAAGCATGTGTGGTATTGACGGGAAAAAAAAAGTTACAAAAAGAATTGGGTTAAGAATATTCTACTATTTTTATTGCACTTTTCAGATATTTGTTTTTTAATCTGAAAATATTAGACACGAAGACTAACCGCGCTAACATAAAGACTAAAATGGGTCATTTTTTACTTATATCCAGTACATTAGTTTTGCCGACTGTTTGCAATGCAAAGGCATGAATATTGCAAATCCGATAAGTATCGCCAATATGAGTAGCGAAATTGATTTAAGCCAGCGGCCCTATCCGTCCTTCTTGCTGTCTATAAAAATTGCAATTATCTTGGAAGTTTTGCAGGGAGATCAAATTTACATCTTTATTTTCCTTCTCATTTTCCTCAGGGTAGATTCAAAGATCACTAAAGTCTGCCCACGGGCATGTGCAAATATACCAAGAGAAAATTGTTAATTTCCTACTTTTCGTCAACTTATTCGCTATCAGGTTCTCTTTCATTACTTTCTTTTCGTAATTATATGACACCAATTGCAACACACTCTACATATGTATATTTAGAGCAATCGAAAAAATTGAAATAAATCTTCTTTTAAAGTGGAGAGAGTGTTAGATATGCCCTTCAATTCATAAGAGAGTTTGTAGCACACAGAAGTGGCATTAGAGAGCTTACAACATATTCAAGCTAAGGCTCGAAGAAAATCGATAACACTTTGTCGTTTATTATTGGAACGTGAGTTGAAATACGACACATGCCCATAATTTACGACCACCAGCTGAATTTAAAACGAGGATGATGTGTCCTCAATCATGTCCGAATATTCAACCTTTTCGTCGAATATGCCGTAACGGCTTGGGGTTTGAATTGAAGCTCAAATCTGGGAATTTGTATTGACAATCATTCATAATAGGCTTACACTTCAGATGTAAAAATAACCAAAGTAGTGTCATTAAAGAAGGTTTATGTCTTGGTAACAGTGTAAGTATAGTTCCATTGTTCCGTGTAGGACAAAATATAAAAATTTACCGTACACTCATAACGTTCTTCGACAGTAACTAATAATATTTTCTGTGGATTATAATCAACGTAAATTAAAGTAAATAAAATCACTATAGTGAAACACGACCCACCATTAAATACTGCACACCGCTTTGTTTAATGCAGTTACTCGCGTAAGAACATTTCAATATAAAGCGTTATATGGAAGGTGGTTTGGGAGATGATTTGATTGTGACTGTTTGTTCTTGAGCCAAAATGTCTCAAAAATGGTAACCAGTAGGTTGCACACAAAACAACGAGGCACGCAGAGAGACAGACGGACAGACAGACATGTTTAGATCAATTCCAAAAGTGGTCATTAATCGATCGGTGGAACCAAAGTTGATTGTATCTCAAGTCCTTCTTGGTGCTGCATACGTCTGCTACTAAACAGCACAAGCAGAAAGAGACTAATGAGGAAATTGCTAAGGTCTGGTATTATTCGACATCAGGCAATGTGCAACGAAAGCTTACGATTTATCATAAGTCGAAACATGTATTCTTGAATGCTGCTGAAGCGGCATCGCCGAAGTCGTATTTTCAATTTAAAATGCTTTCGGGCCCTAAAGGGCTGTAATATGCACGGTCCCTTCCATTGGCTTAATTTTATTAAATTCATATCAAATGATCAAGTTAACATATTGTGGCATGTGGAATGTAAAATTCAAATAATAAGGTAACACTATTCAGTAGATTTATACGTCCATATGCGAGATGGCTTTCACTCCCACTGTCCTTCTTTTATCCATTTTGTGATTTCACAAGTTGCCTGAAAGCTAATTTTCACTTTAGAAGCACTCAGGCTAAAAAGTGTTCTGTTAAAAAGATTTTTTCATGCTATTATGTTGTTGCTATTTTTTTTTTTCGTTTCGCTTAGAGAGCAAAACAAAAAACTACCATTTCCCACGCTCTTCAAATTTTAGCCTTGCAAGCGACAATTGCCACTTAAGGTTTTCGAAATGTATTGCACTTCTCGCTCAGTGCCTAACTTGGCTGTACGGTTTTTCCTAATAGCAGTAGCAACAGCGACGGCAGCAACACTAACAATATTAACAGCAGCAACGAATGAAAACAGGCAGCAACATAAGTTATGCGAAAACGTGACATTTTCTTAGCTACTGTAGAAAATTGATGTTCCCACTTGTTGGTGGATAATACTATAGGAGGAAAGTGGGGAATGGACAAGAAAAAGAAAAGAAAAAGAAAAATAGTTGTATGTCATACTTGCGGGTAAAGTATAAGTTACCCTCGGCCAAGGTACTACTATTGCTAAGTTGCCTATAAAGTGTTCTTGTGGATTATATGCATCATAGGAACGTTCATGTTTATCCACTTTTGGTGGCTAACATTGTGTTTAATAAGCAATACCGTTGATGTCATTTATTTGATGACACCATTTCCTATTTTAGTTTCATTATGCCTCTCTCCTGCTCTCTCTCTCTCTCTCTGTTTCTCTTTCTTTATATGTATAGTCTTCCTTGCACAACTTTTATATGCGATAGTTTACTATTTTATTTATTTATTTATTTGTTTTATTTTATTTATTTATTTTTTTTCAGTTTAGATTTAATCAAAATGTCTTAATTAATTTGTGACATGCTGCAGCAAGTAGTCGTCTTACGAATAAAATCGCTATGTGTGTGTGTGTGTGTGTGTGTGTGTGTGTGTGTGTGTTTCTGTGCATGTAGATGTATGTATGTAGACGTATATA